GGCATTCAATAATTGTCGAATAGCAAGAGAAGGTTCGAGAAAACGACTTGATTCGTAACTATATAGCAATAGGAGGGACGTTTTCATCCTTTTCTTCCTCAACAACAGTTTCTTTTTTCTGCAATTCTAATTGTCAATGACATGTGACGCATCTAAACTGGTATCTCATGTATGCTTTTTATTGATACTGTATCATCAAACATATTGACAGAGGTAGTCATTACAGTAGCATGCAACAATTCACCAAGGGGGAAACAGCAGAGACTTCAGTCGTGAAGTCCCATGAAATCTTGAAAGTCTTTCGAAGTCTTCTGAAGTCTCTTTGAAGTCTTATGAATTCTCATGAATTCTCATAAAGTCTCTTGAAGTCTCTGAAGTCTCATAAAGTCTTATGAAGTCTCATAAAGTCTAATGAAGTTTCACGAAGTCTCATGAAGTCTAATGAAGTCTCATGAAGTCTCTTGAAGTCTCTTGAAGTCTCTTGAATTCTAATGAAGTCTCATGAAGTCTTATGAAGCCTCATGAAGTCTCTTGAAGTCTCTTGAATTCTAATGAAGTCTCATGAAGTCTCTTGAAGTCTTTTGAAGTCTTTTGAAGTCTCATGAATTCTTATGGAAGTTTTGAAATACATTTAGTGCATGAAAATTCATAAAAAAGCAATGAAATTGTCTTGTTTTCGACAGTCTTATTTTAGCAGAAAGGTGAACTTTTTATTGTTTGTTTGTCAAGGTACTGGAAAAAAATTCAAGTTTGTTGGATCTTAGAAAACATGATAGTTAAGAACTGAATGCTTTTTGAATGAAGTGGTTTATTTTTATAAGAAATGTTTCATTTATTCGATGTCAATCTTATGAAGAATTTTATTCCTTTTTGTTTATTTCTATCACTCGTGATAATCTATCAGCCGATAAACGGCTAGCTTCATCGGTCAATAACCAACAAGTCGTTTGCTTGTGTATAACTTTAGTCTTGTTATTTATTTGCACCTGAAAATAGGAGTTTTCCAATGCTGGATTAATCGAATCAAACATACGCATACCAGTAAAGTTTATATTCTCTGTTTTAATTTCATCAACGCTTTGTGTCATTGTCACATCTTTATTCTAGATATAGATATACTGCGAGAAACAATTCTCAGAAACAAGAAACACTTTTGTAATCTCTATATGATAAGTTTTGTTTTTTGCATTTTATAGAAGTTTCATGTAATTTCTATAAGGTTTTTTGATACGCATGGAATCTGCCTCTTGACGTCCTGTGAAGTCTTGTGAAGTCTCATGAAGTCTAATGAAGTCTCATGAAGTCTCATAAAGCCTCATGAAGTCTCTTGAATTCTAATGAAGTCTCATGAAGTCTCTTGAAGTCTCTCGAAGTCTCATGAAGTCTCTTGAAGTCTCTTGAAGTCTCATGAAGTCTCTTGAAGTCTTGTGAAGTTTTATGAAGTCTTGTGAAGTCTTATAAAGTCTTATAAAGTCTCAAGAAGTCCTACAAAGTCTCTGAAGTCTCATGAAATCCATGAAGTCTCATGAAGTCCGTGAAGTCTCACGAAGTCTGTGAAGTCTAACGAAGTCTTTTGAAGTCCCATGAAGTCTCATGAAGTCATACGAAGTCTTATAAAGTCTTGTGAAGTCATTTGGAGTCCTATGAAGTCTTCAGAACTCTTTAGAACTCTTTTAGTCTTGTGAAAATATGAAGTCACTGCAGTTGAAGTCTGTTGAAGTCTTTTGAAGTCTGTTGAAGTCTTTTGAAGTCTTTTGAAGTCTTGAAGTCTTGAAGTCCGCTGTTTCCCCCTTGCAATTCACTAGTAGCCGTAATCGGTAAAAATGATTGGGCTATCAGTCTTGATCAGTATCCATGTCAGATTCTGACTATAGTATACGTATTAACATTCTCCAAATAGAGTTTAGCCTTTCTCATGGAAAAAAAGTGACATTCAACACATCAAAACAGACATTAATCTTATTCACTTGTGAGTACATCGATATAATGACATGATGAATAATACTCGCTAAAGTTCCCATTGTGAGAATACCAATATGTTAATTGCTATTCAAAATTCGTGTCACATTATCTTTTACGCATTCATCATCTATTAGATTAAAGCCATTCGCCATTCTCATTGTATTGTAATACTGCTTGTGTGTACACAATTCGTGCAAACAACGACAACTAATTTCATCGATACACATTGTTGAATAAAAATGTATGAATAGTGCGAAACATACAGTCGCCATCACTACTCACTTCGATAAGAATTACATTATGATTCTCAATTTTTATATAGTTTTCTAACAGATTTTTTACTTGTTGATCAGTCGGGTGTAAATTTCCATCGTAGAGTAATGTAGGCGGGCCCATCACAGGATACAGCATGATTGCAACATGGAGATCCATACATCTTGCTTTTCAGGTTCATGTAACTTTCACAGTCGTCTTTTATTCTGACTAATAGCCAGACATAGAAAACACCTTTAGTCTTGCTGAGGCAAGTTCCAGATAACATTAAGTTCGAACAGATATTGTAAATCAAACAGGTCGTTTGTTCTTATCTTTCCGTAATTGGCAGCATTGTCCACACACTTGGTATCAATGACATTGAAGTGAAGATAGAAAATTTATTGATATTCTTTACGTTGCTCATCACTGTTGCATTCTATTCAGCAATGCGCTTTCTCATGTGAGCAGTCGTTTCAGGTAGCTAATAATTATCTCCAAAGATTACAGCGCTTCTAATAGGGATCCAAACAAACTGCTCAGCACTACGCAGTGTATGAACTATTTACAAACATAGGATTTTATATGAATATCAATGAGGAAAGTTGGGACCAAAAATCCGAATAGAACTTGAACCTGAACCGAAAGTACAATGGCAAATTACACCTAGGCTGAACTCTCTTCTCCTTTCAAAATGATTTTGGATTTGAACCGAAAATTCTTTCTGTCCAAATTCTAGTAATTCATGATCACAGGCTCATTAATTTTGTGAATAATATGATGATAGTTAGAAAGTACGAACCTAGGTTATCTGTTATTTATGAATGTGAATTCTTTACCAAAAATGCGAAATCCACGGTCACACTGTATCATGAGCGACTTCTTACAATAAACTCAAGGTTTTTTTTCGGTCATCAGAAATTCAGGAAAAACTTTGTTTTATTAGCAAGAAACAATTTTCATTTTACAAAATTCAAAATTCTCCGCCCATCATTAGACCATCGTGTGGGTCCAACAATTACAGATTCTTCTCAGAATGAGCACATACATATGTTTTCGTATAGGATCGATCAATGTCGGCAGTATGAGCCTTCCAAGAGAAGGGCACACAGCGACCTTATTAACAAATGGAAAAGTACTAGTTACAGGTGGGAATAATCATGGTGATTATCAACATAGTGCCGAATTGTATGATCCATCGACAGGGACTTGGACAACTACTGGTAGCATGAAGTATCCACGAGCTCGGCACACAGCGGTCTTATTAACAAATGGAAAAGTGTTAGTTACTGGTGGAAATAATATTGTTATTCTCACTAGTGCCGAATTGTATGATCCATCAACAGGAATTTGGACAACTACTGGTAGCATGCATAATGAACGAATGTCGCACACAGCATCATTATTAAAAAATGGAAAAGTGTTAGTTACTGGTGGAAGTAGTTTTACTATTCCCAGTAGTGCCGAATTGTATGATCCATCAACAGGAATTTGGACAACTTCTGGTAGTATGAATAGTAAACGAGCGAGGCACACAGCGTCCGTATTAACAAATGGACAAGTGTTAGTTGCTGGTGGAGCAACTTCTTTTGATTCTTTAAGTAGTGCCGAATTGTATGATCCATCAACAGAAAATTGGACAACTACTGGTAACATGGATAGTAAACGAGATACGCACACAGCATCCGTGTTAACAAATGGAAAAGTGTTAGTTACTGGTGGGCATAATGATGATCTTTTAAGTAGTGCTGAGTTGTATGATCCATCAACTGGAAGTTGGACAACTACTAATAGCATGGCTCAGGCACGACCTGATCACACAGCATCTGTATTAAGAAACGGAAAAGTGTTAGTTACTGGTGGAGGACCTTTTTTTGAGGTTTATAGTAGTGCCGAATTGTATGATCCATCAACAGGAACTTGGACAACTACTGGTAGTATGAGCCATTCACGATCTGGGCACAGTGCGACTTTATTAACAAATGGACAAGTGTTAGTTACTGGTGGTGTAAATCTTCTTAGTTTTTTAAGTAGTGCTGAGTTGTATGATCTATCAACAGGAACTTGGATAACTAACAGTAGCATGTATAATCAACGAGTGGAGCACACAGCACCTGTATTAATAAATGGGAAAGTGTTAATTACTGGTGAATGATCAAATGTTAGTATGGTTTGAACAGTGCAGAAATATATTAAACATTACAAAAAATAAATACAACAAGTAGCTTTTGATCTTTCGTCCCATTATTCTTGTTTGTAATCATTATCCTTCAAAGTCCAACTGTCTTAATATTTATTCATTATTTCATACTGTTCTCTGACTATTTTCTGTGGAATTCCTTTTTGATCTATTTTCACAATAAACTATTCAAATTCTCTACAGTAGTTGTGTGAAACACGATTGATAATGAGTTTCAAATGGTACAGTGAGAAAAATGAACCCATTCTCTCCCTGACTCGGCTCCAAAGTCTGTGACAGACAAACAAAATAGTTAAAGTTCTGTAGCATCACAAAATCAGATCGGAATAGTCTTAAACAAATTGTATCTACGATGTCTAAACTTTTATTTTTCAGCAATCGACGATTCGACGAAGATTAGTAATAGAGAATTTTGCGGACGTGTTTCGTAATCTTTATCAAGACTTATTCATCAGTGCCCTGCATTCTTATGAAATGCACCCAACTTTTTAGACACGAATGTAAATAATAATATTGTTAATACAAAGCACAAAAAACTAAGATTTCAAATGCAATAGAAGAGAAAGAAATTTTTTATTATAAGACAAGAATATTTACGACCACAGACAATCAAATAAAACCAGAATAATATTATGTTTCTTCCTTTGTCCTTCTGAGGGTAGCATTTTCCTGTTAATTTATTTTAAATTTAAAAGAGGACCCGTTAGTATATCAGACAACATGACAGAAGAAATTTTTTCGATTGTCGATTTAATTATCTTGTAACGTTCATCGCACGAATTCACTAACGCTTTGATGAAAGAGAGGAACATGTCGCTCTATTTTAAGAAATGAATAATGGTTTAAACGTGGTCATAGTTATTTAATTGCTAGTTTTGTTAATCATTGCATACAGAAACTCATATTTTCTTCACATATTCCTGCAAGACTATGTCTCATCTGAAACTGCATATTCAGCTACGAATTAGTCATGAGGAATGTTCTTGATGTGCGACTTCCTTATTGCTATGTATTTGTTTCTTTTGAAAACTCACATCCGGTTGTGGATGCGAATATGAATATTACGAGTAATCATGACACGGTCCGACCTTACTTAAGGGTCTCTCATAAAATGGTTTTGATTTAATATCTATTCAAATGATCGTAAAGTGACAACAAGATACAAAATTTACACATAGTCTTCATACTGTCTATTATGTGCACTTTATGTATTGTCTGTCAGAGTTGAGTCTATGCGCAGTAATTGACAAATCGATGTGGCTATATGAATAATGGGATGGGTTACGTTTTTATAGATGATGTTTATTGTTGATGATCAGAAACTGGCAACATGATCTTTTGATCTATTGAAAAGGTTTAGTTTTTTAGCATGGTGAATTTTTGAAGTTTTTGTTTCATTGATCAGCAACATAATCTTCGAAATTTGCTTTATGATGAATTTTCTCAACAGCTTTGTTGGTTGTGCCTTGTCGACTTCTTCTGCTCATGATTGAATGGTTTTTAAATAATCTAGCAGAAATCTTTTCTGATTTGGAAATGATATAAATTGGTTGTCACCTAACTTGACTTCCCATGGTTGCATAATAACGTTCATTTTCGTGTCTGTCATGGTAGTTTCGAAAGTTATCTTTGGCACTTTGTAAGTTAGTGTTCAAATAAACCTTATCAGTTCGAATAGTTTTCATGTAGTTCGAAGTTTTGATATTCAATCTTTTATTTATTCTAATAATTACAAGATAAAGTAATGTATGATTATCTACCAGAGTGTCTTAGCGACAGAAAAAAGGCCCTGAACGGCATTAACGACAAAACTTAGGAGGTTCTAAAAAATTCTAGAACACTCCAAAGTTTTCCTCAAAATTCGAATGACTGGAATGCATTTCTGACTGTTATAAATAGTGTAGTTTTTGGTTTTTATGCAGATAAAAGTTTATAGTTTAAATGTTAAAGATGATGAGTAGTGATACGATGTATTGATTTTACCACAATCGTCATATGATCCACATAAAAAGCGTGAACTGATCAATTTATAAATTTGGAAAATAATCAATATTAGTGTTGATGAGCTTATAGAGATATATAACAGTATTTTAAGATCTGCTGTAGATTTTATAATTACTTACAACAGGCTTATTTGTCAGTTAAATCAATGTTTAGAGTAATCATAATGTTAAATTAAGAAAAACAAAATACGAAAAAAAATAATGAGCAAATAGCAACACGACAAACAAAAAATAGAGCATCACTAAAGAAAAGAAAAATTTCTGATCGAAATGCAGAAATAAATAAGACAGTCTTGGTAAAGAAAAGTTTCGACTTAGGAAGATATAATTATCATTTTCTTATCTGCATAAATGTGCACATGCGTTTGAGTAAATATTTAGAACGATAATAGATACCTTTTTACCCGTCAAAATGATCTTTCGATGCTTTTACACGGGTATACTTTTTGTTTTTGTTTTGCAATGGTCGAATGCATTACCTATTTCAAAAATCACTACTCATTCCATTGAATTAACTCCATGTGAATTATGCAATTTGTTATTACCTATTGCAAAAGATCTTATTGCACAAAATGAATCATCATTAATGGAAAAATTGGGCATAATACTATGTCAGTATCTACATCTTGCTGACGATGCAGTATGTGCAGGCATGATCAATGAATATAATTATGTACTCATTGAGATTCTTCGTTATAGTCCTTTATCAACATATGAAATATGTGGTGTAGCTTTTGACTGTCTACGGCAAGCTGACATTCCTGCTCTTCAATGGAATGTTACATTGCCTCCTCCAACTCAACTATTATTCTCGTCTTCATATGTATCGAGTAAACATTTATCTTCCAAATATATTCTTTCAATTCTTCATTTAGCTGATCTACATATTGATCTTGAATATAAACCTGGTTCAAATGCTAATTGTGGTCGACCACTTTGTTGTCGTGATGGAATACCAAAATCAAGTGAATTAGGAGCAGAATTTTGGGGTGATTATCGTACATGTGATCTACCACTATGGACAGCTGAAAGCATGTTAAAATATATTGTTCAAAATGAAGAACAAATTGATTTTATTTATTTTACTGGTGATATTGCTCCACATGATGTATGGCAACAAACTCAAGACAAAGATCTCGAAGAAATTTCTTTTACAACTCGTTTATTAAAACAAACATTTCCTAACAAAAAAATATATCCATGTGTTGGTAATCATGAAGCAGCACCACCGGATCTTTTTCCAACAGATAACATATCATGGCTTTATTCAAATTTAGCTTCTCAATGGATTGATCAATTTGGACTTGATGAACAAACAAGAGATACTATTCTTAAAGGAGGTTATTATACGACAATAATTCTACCAAAATTTCGTTTGATTTCATTAAATATGAATTATTGTACTGAAAATAATTATTGGCTTTTCATTAATTCAACAGATCCTCTAGGTCAATTACAATGGGTAAATTTTACATATCTTTTTTCTTTCTTATATTAATAAATTTGATTTATTTTCATCTTACAGTTGATTCAGTGGCTTCAATATGCTGAAGAACATCAAGAAAAAGTTCATATTATTGGACATCATCCACCACGAATGTGTATGGTATCATTTAGTTGGGCTTATTATAGCATTGTCAATCGTTATCAAAATACGATAAGTGGTCAATTTTTTGCTCATACTCATTTTGATGAATTTATGCTTTTCTATAATGAAACAGATTCTAAACAGCCAGTAAATTTTGATGAATATTTGTGTAATACAAATGCTTTTCTTATCTTTAAAGATTTCTATCGCTTATATTACACCTTCATTTACAACTTATCCAAACATTAACCCAGGTTATCGAATGTAAACAATTGATGTAAGTTCTTAAAAATTTTCTATATCATTCTAATCTTACTATTATTTAAGTATTTTTTGTTTTTGTATTTTATAGATTGAAAATTCAGTAGCAGTACTTGATCATCGAACAATGATTCTTAATTTGACAGCTACTAATCTATACAATACAACAAAATTTATTAAAGAATATTCAGCAAAATCAGCTTATTCTATGAAAGATCTATCTCCACAAGAATGGAATAAATTCGTATTACAATTAGAAAATGATATAGATGGTGAAACAATGGGATTGGTATATCAATATTTTATGAAATCATCTGCTACAGGCGAAGCTTGTGATCGAATATGTCGAATGAAATTGATTAATTGCAATCTTAAAACAGCAAGAGCACAAGATACAACTTTTTGTTTTGAAATTTGATATATTTTGAACTTTTTTCTATGCATCAAAATATTTTTCTTAAGTATTCTATTCTGAAGACTAATTAAAAAAAAATAATTGCTTGTTAATTATATACTAGAATTATTCTAATACGATATGAGGAATACTATTGTGCTTACTTTTATGTCAAAGTTAGAATCTCGATATTTTCGTCAGGATTGAATTGATGGAAACCCAATAACCAAACAAATATTGAACTAATACAGATAAAGACAGACAAAAACAAGAAGAGTAAACATATACAGAAAATCAGTGGGGATCAGTAAAATTGCTATAATTTTATTGTTTTTCATTTTTTACAAAAATTCTCTTTGCAAGATGCCTATCTGGTTTCATGCTCTATCGATTGATGAAAAAATCTTCTCAAAATCTTGTGAGTACACCTATCTACAAGATATTCTTTGAGTACTACTTTTCGAGTATATATTCATCCCATTTGGGTCTAATGTATAATCGTGCTGATGTCACTGGAGTGAATATACAATCTCAGTCATTTTTTTCATCTATTTTTTTTAAACCTAATTTTTGAAGGATTGGTACCAGTGGCGTAGCCAGGATTTTGGGCTAGGAGGGGCTCAGCCCCTCAAAAATTTTCGACCCATCTTAGGTATATGAAACTTATCTGTAAACCCAATATAGAGTTGATTTTTGTTTATTCTGATTCTTTCCTCAAAATATAAGCTGAGCTAAAAAATATAAAATGGCAAAAGATGTTCGATCTTCATTCAATTGAAATAACCACAATAGATGAAATAAATGTGGAAACCTCGGATTTATATCCGAGAGTTATGTGTACTTCAAAAAGTGAATGAGACAAATCAGTCATTCTAGAATATCTGGATATACAAATTAGCCGGGCAAACCTTTTCTATTGACATTTGAATTCAATTGGCTACTGCTCAACCAATAGGATTTGGTGGTGAATACAGCTCACATTTGAACTATTTGGTCCCTGACATACAGAAAAAAATAAAACGAATTACGCAACACGATTGGTTTATTTCGATTTAAATCGTCTTTTTGAGACGATTTATTCGTTAATTCAGTTTTAATTCACTTTGAATTAGTCGGTGTTTGGGGCCTTCGCCTTGATTTACTCCAAGAAAGTCGTTTTCCCTATAACTTGATTTCTATTGGTCAGTGCTCAATCAATGGAGCTTCGAGACAAGTGGAGTACAAATTCGAGTTCTCCATCCCGAAAAACCCTGGAGTATCGCCTTTGCGATCAGAAGATAGAGCTCTAATTGTGGATCGATTAGAGCGTGGACAAGAACAGAACCGATTTCCGTTTATTTATCTTTGCAATAGGTGAGTTAGCTTCCTTGTTTCTTGATGCTTTATATACCATTTTGTAGCTCGTGAAATTCTCTGTCGAATGGTATATAATAATTGGGGTTTTATGTGACCATGATCGGGAAAGCCTTTTACAAAAGCAGGGACTGGTTGATCCTCACATAGGAAAGCATAGGGGAAAATAATTATTTTTACAATAACTCACCAATGGCTCGGACACTAATTCTCATCTTCGAATTAAACCGAGATATTGTTGGGACAAAACTGTGTAGAAAATTTCATCATGATTGAACTCTGCTTTCAAAAGTTATCACCTAAACGGCCGGTCGCTCGGCCGGACACGCTGACCGATTCTAGAGTGTACTTACTTTTTGAGTACACAAAAATTTTGCTCTTGAATGGGAATAAATATGCGGGTGAAGTTTCTTCTTTTTTGCTCTTTTCTTGCCTATTTAAACGTATGTACTGGAATGGACGAAGAGAACTAGCTTGTAAAAATTAATTTTCTTCGTCCATTCCAGTATAAAAATTCAAATAGGCAAGAAAAGAGCAAAGAAGAAGAATAAAAAGAAGAAGATTCAACCACATATTTATTCTCATTCAAGAACAAAATTTTTTAACTCTAAAAAAAACGTATTACGTTCGAAACGTTGGTTATAATATATATTGTTATATATTTATATTTACATTTATATATTTTACTCTCCATTACTATGTTAAATTTTTATATAATTGTAAATAATAATTTATATAAAATATTTAATAAATTAAGAAAAAGCTAATTTTTTTTAAAAATGATCAATACAATCTACCTAAGACGTATGAACTTTCATTCTGATTTCACAACAACAGACATCGCTTTACTCTGATACAAACCAATCACTGCAGCCACCTGCAAAGCTGAAATAAACTACTCATAACCTAATAAACCTCATTAAAACTTGTATTCGCATTTACTGTATTTTCTTTTATTCAAAGACATATGAGTTGCACAAAATTAAATATATATGTTAAAAGGTAAAATTGCAAACACTAATCTATTTTGGTATAAAAAGAATATGTCTTTCTAAAATTCCGCTAGGAGGGACTCAAAAGTCTGTAGGGGGGGCTCAGCTCCCCCTGGCCCCCTGCTGGCTACGCCACTGATTGGTACCTTGTTTTTTTGTGATTTTTTTACCAGTCGACAGCTGAAAGTCTTCTTTATCACTCTAAACTAATCTTAAAATTATAAGTAAGGACTATATACTTTTTAATAGTTTGCAAAAAGAGCTCCAGAAAAAATTCCACATATATTTGCGCCACGTGGCGTAATTGTATAATTGTCAGTACGCTCGTGGGGTCAATGCATAACCTTAGTAGAGTACACTAAAACTCGATTTTTAGCAGATTCATAAGGAGTTTTAAGATGCTCTCGAGAACAAAATTGTTCAAAATGATGAGCTTAATAATTCTAAAGTATTTCGAAAACGATTTCAAACTTTCGTATGGATTTTTATCTGTTGTTATAAGTGAGTGAAAAATCAACTTAAAGCTTGAAATGACTATTTTTCAAGTGAATTACATCAAAACTTTAATTAACTTAATTATTCACTCATTTTCAGTTGTTATTAAGTAAATTTGATGACATTTAAAGATGAAATATATACTGATTATCGTTGTTTAAAAGACAATTTATATTGATGATCTGCCATACCTCATGATAACTTAAAGTTTATATCTGTGATGATAGCTGGATCGCTTCACTAATACTGATTGATTAATAAAAGTCATTTTGGAAAAAAGTCATAGCTAGCTACTCTACTAAAGCTCCCAGACGTGTCTATATTATTGTTAAATTTAAGAAAACTATATTACAACTTTCATGTTAATCCTACAAGTTTATTGACATTAGCGTTTTATATTACAAGTTCCTTTAATTTATAGTATTCTCTCTTCATTTGATACTACTTTCAAAGTAAAAACGAAGATATTTCAATGAATAAAACTACAAATATCAATCAAAGCTATCCAAAACCTAGTTTCATTAGATAGTAATCAATTCATAACTTAAAGTTAACACTTTGGTTCTTCAAATTTATATGAAAACAAGGAAAGAAA